AAAAACAGTTATTGTCAATATTGTGGGCTGTTGAGCTGCCTGTGGTGCAAATCCATCAGGAGCTGCAAACACAAAGCAGGCTGACGTTACGCTTCTGCAACAGCTTTAAAGCCGAGTCGGTCCAATTTAAATGAGCTCCACCATAAATAAATCTCATCATGGAGCCAAAACTGGAAATGACAGGTTCACGCCCATGATGGGTGTTGACCTCTGACCACAGCTGAGCCGCTCGAGGTCGGACAGCAGAAACGTGTTGGACAGCAGCTCATCATCTACCTGCTTTGTCGTAATCCCTCAGCGTGTCGTACTGCTCAAACATCTCGGATCGCATCCTGATGAACTCTGACGAATGTGACCAGCAAGACATCTGGTGCGGCAGGAAGTAGTTGATGAGCCTCTCGCGGATCGCCTTGGTCCGTCCCAGCAGCCAGATGGGGATCTGAGCGATGAGGAGCGGAAACATCTTGTCGAACTTGACGAAGTCCGTCTCCAGGACGCTCATGCCGCTGTGGCGGCTGGCGGACGGCGGCTTGCCGTACATGGTGAGAAAGGTCGCCTCGAACATGATCGAGTTGCAGAACTTGTACATGTAGGCGGTCTTCCAGCTGCTCTCCTGGTCCAGGTAGTCCTGACGAAACACCAGCATCAGGTTACCCATCATGCTCTCTGTCAGGGGCGCGAGGTTGTCCCCTTGGAGGAGGATGAAGCCGCGTGTGATCTGCTCCTGCAGGCCGGGGAACTCGCTGGTGACAGGGGGGTAGCCGAAGGCGAAGGGCGCCACCCTGTTGGAGAACTCGTGGAAGTCCAGCTGCCGGCCTTGCTTGATGATGGTGGGATACAGTAAAGGATCCATGATGAAGGTCATGTATTTACCTGCATTTATAAAAGAGGCGTATCAGGTGTTTAATCAGACTGGAGCATTTTAAGATAAAAGGTCAGCATGTCTATGAAAAAAACAGCTGGAAAGATCAGTGGTCCTGAAGAGAAACAGCTGGAGGACTGATCGCTCTGAGCATGTGCGTACATATACACAAGACAGTATTCTCCTTCCTGTATATACAAGAGCGTATATACAGGAAGGAGAATACTGTCTGCTAGTACAACAGCTGCTCAGAAAGCAGAGGGAAGAAGTTAGCTCAGCTCAGTCATGCAGCTTCTTCCTGAGTGTAGTGATATGTTGTATTAGCATGCTGCCTCGGCCCATCACTGCATTAAACCACGTCTTTATACACCGATTAACCCAAACACAGTTTAACCCAAACACAGTTTAACCCAAACACAGTTTAACCCAAACACAGTTTAACCCAAACACAGACCGTTCCCAGGTGTTCTCACCATGAGCACTTTAAAATCCCCCGTCTCTGTGGTCCAAAGGATCTTAAATATCAACTGGTAATAGATTACTTTGAGCTCTAAACATTATCTAACAGCTCTAACAAAGCCCTGAAGTTTTCATTATTTTGACTGTAAAAATAAGACATTTGTATGATGAAAATACCCAACTGTGCGTGTTATACACTGAAAAGATAATTTTGTGTATTTTTATGATTGTTTCCTCACAGCTCGACACCAGAATGAGAGGAAACGTCTGCAGAGACAGTTATAATCTTTACTTTGGTCGTGACTACGTCTGATATCCATCCTAAGAATTTATTCTGATTTTTCATTTTCTACTTGTGTCTGCGTCCCATCGTTCACCTTCATTCTGTCTTATTCATTATTGATAAGTTCCTCAGAATCATTCCCAGAACAAACATATTAGTATAAATAATATAAAGTTTGACTATTTAGAACCTTGAGCATGACATTAATCTGTATAAAGACC